GGCTGGGCCTGTATGTGACTCCAGACCCACAGCAATATAGTTGACACTTAACTGCCCTCTGGGCAAATTAGGAATGAGAAAAAATGCTGACCTGGGCAGTGACACTCATATTCTGTCAATGAAAAAACATTAGAGGATATTGTGAAAAACGAGAGTCCTAGTTAATTTTTTGTGTGATGTATGACTTGAAATATTTCCCAGTGAATCCAGATTTAAGGTTCAATCCAAATTCAGAGTTTTCCACTGGGAGAACTGTGCACCGTTTCTTGATCTTGGTGCAGCCAACGGGTGTGACCCAAACCAAGTCAGGTATGCACATCAGTAAATTTATTGCTATAAGAGAAATTGTTGCTAGAAAACAAAAATGAGAATGTGTGGAGGAACTTGAAGTTATCTGCTCAATGAGGGCTCAGTTCACCAGCTAAGTTAACAATCATATTCTGTTAATTACTGAAAGCTGCTAACCAAGGCCTGCCTCATATTGATAAACTCGACTTGCCTGCTGTCTAACCATTTCATACAGCACTTCCTTACTTCACAGAGTGGTGAAAGCATATGGAAGGCACATGGAGCATCTGCATGGGCTTTGAATTGTTCGAGTGAAGACCAAGAATAGACACAGTGCAACAAAAGCAGTCTTCCCATTTTACAAAATCCTCAGCCTATTAGTAATGTGTGTTATTATCTATCGAACTTATTCATGCTGTCCTCTTTAATATGCTTCTCACCTGCACTAGTTTATTACACTTTCACTGAAAAAGGTCTCCATTCTCTTAATATGTTCACAAATAATTTGATGAAATGTATTCTTACATAATTTAACAACGTTTAATTCAATATTCAAAACATTGGGGAAAATCAATTTTGCTGATGGAAGTCTTTTTTTCCTAGCTCACTGCACAAAACTCAAAACAGACTTTTCCTGCCACTAAATTTATGGTAGACTTTAGTTCGTTGATTTGACAGCAACACATGCTGGCTATATTTCCTGCTTTTTCTCAAGAAATATGCTAACAACATTTTTAGTGCAATTCACAGCTGATAATAAGACAGCAAACATGTATATGTCTGATTCAGTAACCAACATTGAACTTTGGGAGAGAAAATCATCTCCATTGTGCAGCTTCCAGTCGTGCTATAGATGTTCCAAGTACTGTTCTGTTCATGTACCCTAAGGATCCGAATGAACTTAGTGCAGCCTGTGACACAATCTGTTCAGGAATTTTAATGGAATGAGACAAGAACTTTCAAAAGTTTATTGGAGTAAACTGTTTGCAGATAAAAGGACGTCTGGCAAATGGGAGACATTCAACAGTGTGAACAAGAGTTCAGAGGCATTTTCTTTCTCTTACAGCGAACAGTAAGGCTGGTAAGATTAAGAAACAATGGATGAATAAAGATATTGAGATTCTAGTTAAGAATAAAAGAGAAATTTTTTCAGATATAGACATGTTGGCTCAATTGAATCTCTTAATCAATATGGAGAGTGTACAGGCATTCTTAACAGAGAAATAAGGAAGGCAGAGAAGGGACATGAGATAGCATTGGAATATAAAATTAAGAGTAATCCAAAGAGATTCTACAAATACATTAAGAGCAAGAGGGCAACGAGAGAGAGGGTAGGGCCTATTAAAGATCAAGGAAGTCATCTTTGTGTTAAACCCCAGGAGATGGGAAAGATACTGAATTAATATTTTGTGTCAGTTTTTACTGTGCAGAAAGAAATGGAGTCGAGAGAATGCAGAGAAATAAACATTGGTGTTTTAAAAATAATTCACATTACAGAGGAGGAAGTTCGGGAGGCCTTGGAGAATATAAAGCTGGATAAATCTCCGGGACCTGATCTAATGTATCCCGGAACATTGTGGGAAGTAAGGGAGGAAATTATGAGACCACCTGCAGAAATATTTGCATCATCTACAACTATGGCTGAGGTGCCGGATTACTGCAGGATGGCTAATGTTGTACTTTTGTTTAAGAAAGGCTGTAAGGAGAAACCAGGAGTCTGACTTTGCTTGTGGGTAAATTGTTGGAGGTGATTATAAAAGATAGGATTTATGGACATTTAGAGAGACAAAAATTGATTAGGGAAAGTCAGCTTGATTTTGTGTGAAGGAAATCATGTCTCACAAAATTGATTGAGTCTTTTGAGGAAGTTACCAAAAAGATTGATGATGGCAGAGCAGTCGGTGTTGTCTATTTGGATTTTAGTAAAGCTTTTGATAGGTTCCACATGGCAGACTAATTAGTAAGGTTAGGGTCACTTGGGATTCAGGGTGAGCTTGTCAATTGGATACATAATTGGATTAACAGCAGGAGACAAAGAGTAATGGTGGAAGGTTGCTTTTTGGACAGGAGGCTTGTAACCAGTGGTGTTCCAAAGGGATCGGTTTTGGGTTCTCTTTTGTTTGTTATTTATATAAATGATTTGGATGAGAATATAGAAGGCATGGTTAGTAAGATTGCAGATGACACCAAAATTGGTGGCATTGTAGACAGTGAAGAAGGTTTTCTAAGATCACAAAGGGATCTTGATCAAATTGGTCAATGGACTGAAAAATGGCAGATGGAGTTCAATCTGGATAAATGTGAGGTATTGCATTTTGGTACAACAAACAAGGGTAGGGCTTACACAATTAATGGGAGTGCCGTGGGTAGTGTTGTAGAACAGAGGAACTTGGGGTGCAGGTACGTAATTCTTTAAAGCTTGCTTCACATACAGACAGGATTATTAAAAAGGCATTTGGCACGCTTGCCTTCATTGCTCAGTCATTTGAGTATAGGAGTTGGGATGTTATGTTGAGGTTGTACGGGACACTGGTGAGGCCTCTTCTGAAATACTGTTTCCAGTTCTGGTCACCCACTTATAGGAAGGATATTATCAAGTTGGAGAGGGTTCAGAAGAGATTTTCCAGGATGTTGCCAAGTATGGAAGGTTTGAGTTATAAGGAAAGGCTGGATCGGCTGGGGCTTTTTTGACTGGAGTGTAGGAGGTTAGGAGGTGACCTGATAGAAGTTTATAAAATAATGAGAGGTATAGATAGAGTTGATGGTAGTTGTCTTTTCCCTAAGATGGGGCATTTCAAGAATAGGAGGCACATTCTTCAGATGAGAGGAGTGAGATTTTAAACATAAAAGGCAATTTTTTTACACAGAGGGTGGTTTGCATGTGGAATGAACTTCCCGATGTAATTGTACCCACTATCCACCATTTCAATGTTTAAAAGATGTTCGGATGGATATATGAATAGGAAAGGTTTGGAGGGATATGGGCCAGGAGCGGGCAGGTCTAGTTTATTTTGGGATTATGTTCAGCATGGACTGGTTGGACTGAAGAGTCTGTTTCAGTGCTGTATGATTTTATAACTGGATGACCATAAACTAGTGCCAGTGTTCACTAGTGTCTATATGTAAGGTATGATGGAGACATATTCACAGATCACATAACACGCCCAATTGATCTGATGCCAGGATACTGATATTGGATCAGCTAAGTTCATGTGTTCAATTTCCACATTCTCTTTCACAAACATGAAGCCACAATGTAAGTCTTGCATGAATGAACAAACAAATTTGGGCCAGGAATAAGCCCCTCGAACATATTGCCCCATTCAATATGTTTATGGCTGATCTGATTTTCTCATACCCCTGATGACGTTCCACCTCTCTTCTTGTATCAGCAACAACAATGGAATCATACTCCAACACAATCTGGAACCTAATGGCCTGGCATATTTTCTGCCATCCCATTCCTATCAAGCCAGGGATCAAGCTTGATTCAATGAAGAATACAATACACAAGTATATGCCAGGAGCAGCACCAGGCATATGTAAAAATGAATCAACCCGATAAAGCTACAAAACAGGACAACCTATGAGCCAAATATCGTAAGCAGCAGGTAATGGACATGGCTAAGAAAACCCACGACCAACGGATCAGCTCTAAACTCTGCGTTCCTACTACATCCCATCCTGACTTGTGGTAGACAAATAAACTCACTCAATGAGGAAGAGCCACAAATATCCCCAACTTCAATTATAGGGGAGCCCAGCACTTTAGTGCAAAAGACAAGACTGAAGCATTCACCACAATTTTCAGCCAGAAAGTGGATTATTCATCTTGTCCTCCTCCAAAGATTCCCAGCGTTAGTGATGCCAAAACTTCAGCTAATTTGATTTACTCCATGTGATATAAAAGAAAAGCTGAAGGAGCTGGATATTGCTATCTCTATGGGCCCTGACAAGATTCAGACAATATTTCTGAAGACTTATTCTCTGGAGTTTGCTGTATCGAAGCCAAGCTGTTCTCGTACATCTACAACACTGGCATCTACCAGATAATACGGAAACTTACACAGGTATGTCCTTTACACAACAAATGGGACAAATCCAATATGGCTAATTACTGGCCCATCAGTCGACTCTTGATCATCAGTAAAGTCATCAACATCAACAGTGCCATCAATCAGCACCTGCTCAGAAAACACTTGTTCATTAATGCCTAGTTTGGATTCTACCAGTACCACGGACCTTATTATAGCCTTGGTTCCAACATGGAAAAAAGCGCAAAATTCCAGAGGTAAGGTGAGAGTGACTGGCCTTGATATCAAGGCTGTATGTGATGAAGTATGACATCAAGTAATCCAAGCAAATCTGGAGTAAATGGGAATCGGGGGAAATATCTCTGCTGGTTGGAAGCATACCTGGCATAAAAGAAAATGGTTGTTTGTTGAAAGTCAGTCATTTCAACTCTAGGATAGCTCTGCAGGAGTTCCTAGGACGAACCATCTTCAGCTGCTTCATCAATGACCTTTCCTCCATCATAAAGTCAGAAGTCGGGATGGTCACTGATGTCTGCACAATGTTCAGTATCATTAAGCTACTGAAGCAGCCCAAATCCAAGTATAGAATAGAATAGAAAGAAATTTATTGTCAAATATATTTTTACATGAACCATACAGTAAAAAGTTTTATAAGTCACCCTATCATGGTGCCTACATTAATGACAGATGTCATAAATAATAATAACAGAGTAAAATTAAGACAAAGTTCATCACAGTTCAGTAAGTGGCTCCAGTGCTCGCGGAAAACCAATTAAGGAATGATGGAATACCTGGAACACACAGCCAGGATGAGACCACTATTCCTTGATGAGAATGCCATACCGAGATGAGACTGCCATGCGGGCTGCTGGAATACTGGGCCAAAAGCGTCTGCTGAAGAAGACCACCATGCCGGGCCAAGACTGCCACTCCACTGGAAGCCATCTCATTGTTGAGCTGGGAGAACTCTTCCGCTAAAGCTATTAAAAAACGGTAAGATGAATATTGATAATAACTATAATGACTGGAAACATTTTTAAAAAGCAGAAGGAGGAAAAAAAACAGTAAAAAGAGAAGTAAAAGTGGAAGTAATAGATTGCGCTGCTACTCCACTGCCATCTTAGATCAAGAGCTGAGCAATATCCAGGCTTGGCCTGATAACTGACAAGTAAAATTCTCACCAACACAACTGCTAGGCATTAACCATCTCTAATAACTATCACCCATTGATATCCAATGGCATAACCAGAATTGCATTCCTCAACCCCTCTCCTAGGGTTGCCATTCGCCAGAAACTGAAATGGATCAGCTACACAAATGCTGTGGCTATAGGGCAGGTGAAAAGCTGGGAATTTTGCAGCAAATAACTCGTTTTGTGTCTCCCTAATGTTTGTCCACCATCCAGAAGACACAAGTGCTGATAAGTTTGGGAACAGGCGGATGGAGCACATGAATGTTCATTTGGGCAGCTTCAGATTCCTGGATCACGGGGTCCTTTTCTAGGGAATGTGGGGTCTTTACAAGTCTGATGGATTGCACTTGAATCAAGAAGGGGGCCAACAACCTTGTTAGGGTGTTTGTGCTATTGATAGGGTTTTAAAGTGGTTTGCCTGAGGTTGGAAGGACTTAGTGGACATGTATTAGGGGCTAATGCATAGATAAATGTAGCAGAAAAATCACCATCAAAAGCAAAATCAAAATCAAAATCAAAATAAAAAACAGAATGGAAGTCAGAGTGAACATAGGCAATTTACAGCACAAAGGATCATGGCAAGACTGGGCAGAATTTCTTTTAATGCAAGGAGTCCTCTGAGTAAGACAGATGTGTTTCGGGACATTGATTAATGTATGGCAATGTATTATCATTGGTATCACAGAGATATGATTGAGGAGAGAACAGGATTGGCAGCTCAATATTTCAGGGTATAGAATCTTCAGGAGAGACAAGGGAATTGTAAAGGAGGAGGTGGTGTCACAATATTGATCAAGGAGTCAATTCCTGCCATTGGAGGGATTGTGTCTTAGAAGGTTCCACAATTGAGACCAAATGGGTAGAATGCAAAAAAAAGGGGGCAATCAGATTTTTGGCAGCGTAACGTATACCCCCAAACAGTTAAGGACAGCTGGAAAGGCAGATAGATAGGCAAATTTCAGATGACTGTAAAAATAATAAAACTGTAATAATGGGGAATTTCATCTTCCCACATATTAATTGGACCAGACAATGTGATAAAGGCTAACAGGAATGCAGAATTCTTAAAATTTATCCAGAACAGCTTTTAAAGCCAGCATGTAGAAAATCCTAAAAAGAGGAGTAGTGCTCTGCCTAATTTTAGAGATCTATTAGAGTGAATTAAATTGTAAGCATTAAATATGGAAAAAGCAAAGAGCAGACATCTCAATATGAACCTTATAAAAGATGAACATTGTACTGCCTAGAGGTTAGTGTCAGCAGGAATCTGTATAAACAACAGTTAGTATTAACAAAACATTCCAGACAGGCTGTAGAATCAGAAGAAATTTAGAGACCAAGAGGTGACAGACAATTATGAGGAAAATGGCAAAACAGTGCCAGACTAAATTATCCTTTACTGTGTGAAGAAGACACAAATAATATTAGCCTATTACCTAGAATGGACATCTGTTTCCGAAGTTCATTTGAATCAAGATTGGAATTTGGATAATGAGATGCCCATGTAGCTAAAGTTCTACAAAGATACTACCTTTTTCTGTATTCCTCAGAGTTGCTCTAGCTAATAGTCTCCCTGTCTTTCACTTGAATAAATGAGATCGCAGGGACTCTGACATTAATTTGCAAATCCTCGCTGGCCGTAGGAGGGATAGCAGATTGAAGACAGTAAAGGTGGTACCATTATTCAGGAATGGTGGTAAGGATAAATCAGGAAACTGCAGGACAGTGAGTACTAAATCTGTGGTAGGGTGTCATTGGAAAAAAAATCTGCGATCTCTTATATGAAACAAAGAACTGTAGATGCTGGACGTCTGAACCAAATCTAAAATTGCTTGAGAGCTGATGGACAGTCACTGTACTCAAAACATTAATTCTGCGTTCTCCTCACAGATGCTGCCAGACCTGCTGAGTTTTTCCAGCAATTTCTGTTTTTGCCCCTGCAATTTCTTCTCCTGCCTCTCATAGCAGCCTAGGATACATCTTTCTGCACTTGGTTATTCATCCAATTTTAAGCCTGCTAAAACTGTTAATATCTCTTTCCTCTCAATTCATATTAATCATCAAGGGTTAATCAAGGATAGTCAGCTTGCCTTTGAAAAGGGCAGATTATTGTCTAACAAACTTAATTGACCTTTTTTGATGAGATAATTAAACGTGTAGATGTGGGTAATGCAGGTAATGAAGACTACATGGACCTCAGTAAGGCTTTTGATAAGGTATCATCTAGGAGATTGATAAAGAAGGTCAGAGCCCAAGAGATCCAGAGTAGGTTAGCAAACGGGATCGAAAATTGATTTAGAGGCAGGAAGCAGAGTATAATGGTTGAAGGTTGTCTTCGTCAATGGGAGCCTGTGTTCAGTAGTGTACCAGAGGGTTTGGTGCTGGGTACCTTGCTATTTGTGCTGTGCATTAATGATCTATAGATGAATGTAAGAGGGTATGATCAGTAAGCTTAGTCCTAACACAAAAATTGCCATGTGGTGAATGATGAGAAGGAAAGCCTGAGACTACAAGCCTATATAGACAGACTGGCCAATAGAACTATGGCAGTTGGAGTTTAGTCAAGAAACTGTGACATGATGCATTTTGAGAGGAATGACAAGGTAGGGGATCACATGATAAATGGTAGTTCCATGGAAAGTACTGATGATCAGAGTGACCTTGGTGCCAGGTAGCTCAGTAGGTTGCCAACTGGATAGGAAGCAGAATGCCAGAGATTAGAGTGCCAGATCGGTGAGGGGTAAGGCACAAAGTGGGAAGTATGCCAAGTGAATAGGAGGCATCCCTGATCTCCGTTGGCTCTTCTCTGCACCCTCTCTCTGTTATGCACCTTGTTGAGCAAGGCGGGGTGGGGGTTGGGAGGTGGCAGAGTGGCACTGAATGTAACATAATGTGTTTGGGAGATGTGCCTGGCCCAGGTGAATAGGTGGCTTATGTGGAAGTGTTGAGAGGCTGTCCACATTGGTATATGTATGAGGGTAAGGTGGATTATCTGGATGAAAGGCATGAGTCGAGAGTACCAGAGTATCTTTAGCTTTGCATGATACCTTGGAATGGAATGTCTGATGGGTGTCAAAGAAGCTTCAAGAGAAGGACTTCAAAAAGGTAAATGCACTGCTGACCAAAATGTGATCTCCAGTGAATTAACTCAGATTGTAAACATGATAGTAGAAGAAAGATTAGTCTTTGCAAGAGACATAGAGTCATAGAGCTGTACAGCATGGAAACAGACCGTTTGGTCCAACTTGTCCATGCTGACCAGATTTCCTAAGTAAATCTAATCCCATTTGGACCATATCCCTCTAAATCCTTCCTATTCATATACCCATTCAGATGCCTTTTAAATGTTGTACTTGTACCAGCCTCCACCACTTCATCTGGCAGCTCATTCCATACATGCACCACCCACTGCGTGAAAAGGTTTTGTCCCTTAGGTCCCTTTTATTCATTCCCCTCTCACCTTAAACCTATTCCGTCTAGCTTTGGACTCCCACTGCAGGGAAAATACCTTGTCTATTTACTCTATCCATGCTTCTCATAATTTTATAAACCTCATTCTCCAACACTCACGGAAAATAGCCCCAAGCTATTCAGCATCTCCCTATAGCTTAACCCCTCCAACTCTGGCAACATCCTTGCAAATCTTTTCTGAACCATTTCAAGTTTCACAACATCCATCTTGTAGCAGGGAGACCAGAATTGCATGCAGTATTCCAAAAGTGGTCTAATCAAAGTCCTAAACAGCCACAACATGACCTCTTAACTCCTATATTCAATGGACTGACCAATAAAGGTAAGCCTGCCAAATATCTATCCTTCACTATCCTATTAACCTACAAATCCACTTTCAAGGAACTATGAACTTGCACTCCAATCTCTCTTTGTTCAACAGTGCTCTGAAAGATCTTACTGTTAAGTGCATAAGTCCTGTACTGATTTGCCTTTCCAAAATATAGCACCTCATATTTATCTAAATTAAACTCGATTTGCCACTCTTTGGCCCATTGGGCCATCTGATCATGATCCTATTGTACTCTGAAGTAACCTTCTTTGCTATCCACTACACCTCCAATTTTGGCATCATCTGCAAACTTATGAACCATACCTCTCATGTTCACATCCAAATCATTCATACAAATGACAAAAAGCAGTGGACCCTCCAGCAACAGTACTTATGGCACACTGCTGGTCACAGGCCTCCAGTCTAAAAAGCAATCCTCTACCAGCACCTTCTATCTTTCTACCTTCTAGTTAGTTCTATAACCAAATGGCTATATTCCATGTGATCTAACATTGCTAACCAGTCTACCATGAGGAACCTTATCAAATGCCTTACTGAAGTCCATGTAGATCATGTCCACTACTCTGCCCTCGTCAATTCTCTTTGTTACATTTTCAAAAAACTCAATCAAGTTAGTAAGACATGATTTCCCATGCACAAAGCCATGTTGACTATTCCTAATCAATCCTTCCCTTTCCAAATACATGCAAATTCTGTCCCTCAGGATTCCCTTCAACAACTTACCCACCGCTGATGTCGCTCACCGGTCTATAGTTGCCTGGATTTTCCTGACCACCTTTCCTCAATAGTGGCACCACACTAGCCAATCTCCAGTCTTCTGGCACCTCACCTGTGGTAATTGATGATACAACTATCTCAGCAAGGAGACCAGCAATCACTACCTAGCTTCCCATAGAGTTCTGGGGTACACCTGATCAGGTCCTTCTTCACCTGGGAGCTTGACAAGTTGGGGCTTCCCCTGCAGATTGTGGACAAGTGATCATGGG